TTTACCACCATCTTAAAGTAGATGTACTTCTAAGTAGACCTGCAAAAAATTAGTGCTTTTTATTCCAAATTTTCGAAGATACGCATGAATTTATATATTGCCGCATTTCGAAATTTGGCATATTTGTTGAAAGCGATAAAAACATCTAATGTGGTTCACACACTTTGTTAAACTTATTTGAAAGTAGAAATGATGTGAATTTTTTTCTCCGCTCATGCACAATGTAAAAAGGTAGGAACAATGTGCCTTTTTTCCCGCTCCTGTACAATGGAAGGGTAAGGAAAATTGGTTGTCATGTATTAAGAAGTTTGCCAAGTGAATTATCCTTGGTGTAATCTGAAAAAAATTGCCAAGCTAAATTTTTTAATTTCTCCGTAAATTTTGCACTAAGTTTTACAAACTTTAATATTTAGGCATAATTTGAGTCATAGAATCTAAATATGGAAAAAAATAGTATGTTATTTAAGAAAATGAGACTGTCAAAATACCTATGTTAGAACATAATGCTATATATCAGGGCTGTCCAACTGTCAGCCGGCGAGTACATTTTACTATGAATAAATTTATGTTACTAAATTATTATTATTAATATTATTTTACTATGTGAAAATTTAAATCTAATTTCAATTTAAAGTAGGTACTATTTAGTTTGCGTAACTTCACTTAACCTGGCTGAATACAGCAGGAATCTGTTTATCGTCTGATGATGGTTGGCTCAACATTGGCGCCACATATTATATTTGTGGTTGGTTGTTGTTTATCTATGGTTGGCTTATGTGATGAGCACGCTACCCTGCACTATTTGGATGATTAACACAATCGTTTGAGTGCTTTCTTGTCTAGAATTTGTTGAGGGGTGACTGTGTTATAATATTATTAACTTAATTTCATATTTATTTATTAATTAAAATAATTATTGAATATGAGTGCTACTAATAAAAGAAAAATAGACCTCGAAAATCGAGAATTTCAAGATCACTAGGAAATTGATTATTTATTTATTCTGAACAAGAATGGTAAACCACAGTGTTTGGAATATTTATAAATCATAGCTGTGTATAAAAAATATAACTTGAAGCACCATTATCTTTCTACGCATGAAAAAAAATATCACTCGTACACGTGAGACATGAAAATACCACTGGTCAAAAAAATGAAAAAGCAGCTGGATCATCAAATGATTTATTTTAATCAAGAAACTTTCAAGAAGCATCTGTAGCTGCATTGTTTGAAGTTTGTTTAGAAATAGTAAAGGCAAAGAATCCATTTTAGGATGGAGAATTCATTAAAAAATGTGCCATAAAAAATGGCTCAAGCATTTAATGACAACGAAATGGTAAGAAAATTTCAAACAGTATCGCTTTCTCACCAGACTGTAAGCCGACGTGTAAACGAGATTAGCATGCATGTCACTAATAAATTAGAAAACCTAATGAACAGTTGCTGCTATTTTTCGGTAGCATTAGATGAAAGCACATTTCTGATACAAGTCAAACGCATATCTTTATAAGAGCGGTAAATGAAAACTATAATTATTCAGAAGAACTTTTAAAATTACAATCATTACACGGAACAACAAAAGGTAAAGATATTTGCAAACAATTAAAATGTTCAGTACAGCAGTATGGCGGATTTGACAAGTGCACTGCTATTGTAATTGGTGCTAGAATTATGATGGGCAAAAATATAGGGCTCGCGGGACTTTTGCAAAAAAGAAGGAATAACATGTCATATGTTACACTCACTGTATTATCATCAGGAGGCATTATGTGATTTATCCCTACAACTAAAAGACGTAATGGACAAGGTTTGCAAAATTGCTCATTTAATTCGCGGCGGAAATCGTTCTCTTACACACCGAAAATTTAAAACATTTTTGGATGAATTGGAAACTGAGTATGGAGATCTGCTTTTACATAATAACATTCGGTGGTTAAGTGCTGGAAAGTGCTTGAGGAGATTCTTTACACTTCGAAAAGAAGTTCAACGTTGTCTCACAGAAACTGCCGTCGATATAGTAAATTTAGTTGTTAAAAATTTTATTTATTCACTTGCTTTCCTAACAAACATTACAAATTATTTAAATATTTTGAATAAATTCTTGCAAGAACAAGATCAAAATGTGTGTTGCCTTTATAAATATGTTACTGGATTTAGAAACAAATTAAAATTGTTAAAGGTTTAATTTGGAGTAAAATAATTTATTTCATTTCGAATCTTGCAAAGAGATCTATGAAGAAATGAAGGAATGTAATATAGAAACGAATTTTAAAATATCTCTATCAAAACTGGATATGCTAATTACAGATTTCGATGAAAGATTTTCTCAATTTGATGATCTTAAACCATCTATTGATTTATTTTGTGATCAAATTAATATTGATATCAACTCCGATGATCTTAAATATCAGATCTTAAATATCAAACAGAATTATGCAACCTGCAGACTGACCCATTTTTTACATCTCTGGAGTAACTGGAATAGAAATATTCAAATTTTTAGATAAAGAGACTATCCAAATTTAAGAGATTTTGGACTTCAAATTGTATCAATGTTCGGAAGTACATATATCTGCGAGCATGCATACTCCGATATGAAATATATATAATCAAAATTTAGAAACGGTGTGAAAGATTCCACTCTTGAAGATATAATTAGACTTGCCACAACAAATATTGATGTGGACATAAAAGATATTGTTGCTAAACATTTACGGCCACAATGTTCTCATTAATATATTACGAATATTTTAAAATTTTCTTTTTAGTATAAATAAAATATTTTTTTAATTAACATAAACTGACTTTTCATTTATCAACCTTCTTGACCCCCGAAATATTTGGTGAAGAAAATATGGCCCGCGGGCTATGATAAGTTGGACAGTGCTGCTATATATAAATCTAATATATATCCTAAGTCGTGCTTTCGACACATGAAAAATGCAATTTGAATTTCGTCAATTGGCCCAGTAGAACGGGAGATATAGAACTGTCCCCCCTTTTGTTTGCACAGTGTATAATACATATTCTTTGTCTGCGAGACCTAAGCGCCTCCCATTGTCTTCTCTAAATTCTGCTGTTTTGATGCGGCCATAAGAGCTCTGCCACTGGTTCTGGGTTATGTGAATAAAAAATCAGTTATTCTTAATTCAAATAGCACTAAATGTATTCTTTTGGCCTATGAGTATCATTAACAAAATCTATATTTAGCATATGGAAAGATATTTTTGTTAAATTTTTCCTGGCAACAATTCTTAGTGCATTTAACTTAAATTTGTTATCATCGTCAAGCGTAATGGCAACATAAAAGGTTACCATACTCTTTGCTATTCAATTTCTGATATTTGCATGTAATTTTGGTTTGAAATGTTGTACGCCAAGCAGATACGCAGGTACAGAGCCAAATTAATCATCATACAAATTTATGCTAAAATGATTGTTTCTTCAGTAATGAGGTATTTTATTTAGTTACAAAGTGAAATTAAGAATCGGGACTCACCACGTTTTATTTTGTGGAGGGAGGCTAATCAAATGCACATGCGTAAACCACACACACAAAATGAATAAAAAAGTTTTTTTTTAAGTTGGTGGTGGCTTTGAGATCCGGAATTTAGATTATTCCGCATATTGGACATACGGATCTCGGACTTTGTACTATACTAAATTATATATCAGCATCTGATTATTAAACTCTATTTTGTGACTTTGATATAATAAGAAACTACTTAAAATATATTACAGTCAAAAGTCTTTAATCCAGACTCGTCGGGACTTCGGCGATTCTGGATTATCGGTTTTTCCGGATTATAGATCATCAGTTTAAATCTGGTAAGATGGCATGCAGAAATTATACAATTAAAATATGAAACCGTAATATATAAAATAAAGAGCAATTGTGATCTAAAGGGTACCAAACTTTACAAAAAAAAAAAAAAAAAAAAGCTTAATATTTATTTGTTTACTTTATTACACATTTCTTTCAACGCGCGCATGCATAAAGCATACATTACGCATAGCCGAAATTAGAAAATTGCAACCAGAAAACTATTTGATGTGTATTCGTGATATTTATAATGACGAGGAAATTGATTTAAATCATATCAAAGACGGAGTACATCGAGATGAAATACTTCATTTAGTAAGGAATTATAAGCCGAATAAAATAAAAACATCTGCCCTGAAGATAAGGATATCGCTGACAGATCAACTTCCAGTTCATTGCGCGCCGCGACGTCCCCCCCCCACAGAGCTGCGTGAAATTAATAAACAGATTTTGGAATGGTTAGAGAAACAAAGGATATGCCTTCATCCATTATTTGCAGCAATTCCACTTTTTGTTTGATGGACATCGAAACATGCTTTCACTTTGTAGATCCTTTGGCAGCTCCAGAATCGAAAATTCTTTTTGACATAATCGAAAGTTCAAGCTTACTTTTATAAAATTGCTCTACCAGTCTGCAAAAAATAATAAGCCGGATCCAATTCGAAGATTAAGGTACAACGCAATCTGCAACATTAACTGAAATAGATAATTAGATAATTTTAGCTTAGCTTATACTGTCCGTTATACATTAAACGCTCATGCATAAACGTATTATGCGCATGCGTAAAATTATTATGCACATGCATCAACGCATTATGCATTGACGCATTATGCGCTGAAAGTCTGTAGCTTTGAAGTCCGGATTATAGATCATTCCAGATTATGGACATCCGGATTAAAGACTTTTGACTGTATTATAAACGACAATTGACAAGAAATTCCTTTATTACAAATGACATTTTTCAAATTTATATCAATTTAAATTTTCTAAAAACATGAAATAAGGATATTTCACAATTTTTTCGGGGAAAGGAGGAAACCCAGATCGTTAAAAAAACTATTTTATTATTTATATAATGTTTTCAATACTTATAATAATAATAATAATGCATATCCAGTCTGAAAATGAATCTCAAAATTTCTGAATTATGATAAACATCTACTAGTTTTTGCTTACAGGAGGTGATTCAAATATAAACAATTCTGCTCCTTTCAGAGCTAGGAAACGAGACTGCCATTTATACCATGGCTGTGGAGCTGGAGAGCCTTCACTGATCCATCCCATGTATAAAATCTGGAAAGAAGGAAGAAAAGCAAAAGTCAATGGGGAAAAAATGTTAATCAATCATTATCTGATAAGAGAATCAATTAAAAATAATGGATGAATGAAAGCTGGTGTTTCAGAAAATGAAAGCACGATTAAAATCCAGAAGAAAATTTTTTAATTCAAAAGCTCAGTACAGAAAATTCAGAGAATTAAATTATTTACATAATACAAATAAAACAATTCTTTCTGTAAGAAAACGAATTTTGTTACACATATTTGGGCTAAAATGTTTAGAGGAATTGCTAAAAATTTTAAGTGCAATATATGGCATTCTTCAAACAATTGACAGCTTTGGTGAATTTGGCGAGACATATAAGGACAGTCCATCTCAAAATAAATACTTCTGTGCAGTTGCTAGCATTTGTGATGTCAGATCATTTAACTGAAAATATGGGTAACCATAGTAAAACATGAGTGAAAGTCCATGGTGTCAGTTTTGTTTATTTGTTTTTAGCTCTAAACATCAATTTATGGCTTGTATGTGACATCATCATATAAATTATTAAAATTAAATATTGTTTTCATCTGAATATAATGCTTGTTTTCTTATAATCATAAATGTCTTTACTACCTTTATATGCAATTAGATGTTAATCAAAGTTTTACACTTGCCTTTTTATTTATTTTATCATCATATGCTTAATTTTTGGAAACCATGTTATAGACTACATGAGAAAATATAAATAAAATTTGAAGTCCTTTAATAAAATAATTGGCTGCAAAGCAAGGAAAAGTCAAAATTTATAACTAAATAGTGTTACAAATTAGAAAAAAATTATCTTAAAACTGAACCCATAATTCAACTGAATCATGAGTTATCCAGAAGTGAAATGGAAACTTTACACTCGTATCATGGCAAATTTTGAGAAATTATAGTTCTCAGTGGCAAAATTTTAATGTGATTTGTTTTTGAAGAATGCAGTTTTAAAAGCCATTTGTTTTTTTTTTCCTCAATATAAAACCTAATTTACATCCAAAGTGTGTTTCAAGAAAAGGCACTGTTTTGTTTTACAGTGCCTTTAAAAGGCACTTACTTTAATTTTCGTTTTACACCATGAAGAATAACTTAGAACACATACCGAGATATTATTATTGATTACCGTAAAGAATAGATTTAGGGATGAAATAGCGCTTCATATAAATTAACTGTAACCATGTAGTAGAACTTTATGCTCTGGTTTATATTATACATATATATATATCTTTTTTTTTTTTTTTTTTTTTTTTTTTTTAATAAAAGCATTTGAAAGTGAGAGTTCACTCAGCAACTAATGCTCATTTTATTTTGTTCCCATTATACTTTTATGTGTAAATATGTAAATAAAGTCTCAAAATTTAATTGAGATACTTTATTGTCGACTGCTACCAAATTTCTAAAGGTTTAATTTTTATTTAACAGGCATCCCATTCCGGGATTGGCAGTAAATTATTGTTGAACTCTGAATAATTAGAACATAAGAAAATATGTCTACTGAGAAATCAGATAAATTAAAGAAAAAATAGGGCATACTGCATGCGTCTGTTACAAAAATACTGAATAAGTTGGAAAATTAATTGGTGAAAGGTAAGAAGTAACGTCAAATAATTTAGAGGAACTCATTATAATTTTGGCAAGTAAATTTGATTCACTCCAAGCTGTTCATAATGAGTTAGAGTTCTATCAGATTTAGATGAGTTGGAAATTGAAATGACAGTAGCTGAAGAATATACTGATATAGTAATTGTCAGAAATTTTCACACCATTAAAAGAATTCATGAGTTAAATTTAAAAAAGTATTGTAATACACATAGTGAAAATGATAACACTATTGTTATACCAAATATGAATTGAAACTAGAACTTATGCATATTAAATTACCAAAAATGAGTATTCCTAAATTCTACAATGATATTACCGATTGGTTTCTGAAGATATACTTGGAAGGTTCAGCTTTAAATATTGCTGAAAGATTTTCTATATTGGCTTCTACATAATAATTCTTCTATTGAATTATTGAAAGAAAGGTTTGCAAATCTTGAGTTGCTGATCCATACCCATATGAGTAATATTTTGCATGTAAAACTATTTATATGTTCATCTGACATTCATGCTTTCAGAAAATTTATCACAAAGTATCGACTGAATTGAGAAGTTTGGAAAGTCTTGATTTATCTAAGAAAATAATTCTACTGCTTTATGCACTATTATTTTAAAGACCACTCCACAGGATATTTTAATTGAAATTAATAAGAGTGTAAATGAATTTGTTTATTCTGATGTTAATGAATTAATGAAAAACATTTCCAAAGTTTTGAATTCATGCGAGTGAATTACAATGATGATTCGTTCGGCTGACAGTTATATCTCATGACGGTAACCAGATCTTACTTCCAGTGTTCTGAAAAAATGCCAGGACTCATGGAATGAAACCTAATTGTGCATTTTGTGACCATTTCAGTAAAGATTGTAAGATTTCAGTAAAGATTTTCAGACCATTTCAGTAAAGATTGTGATTATGCACATAATATTTCTCTGGATGAAAGGAAAGCAATTTTGATGAAAAGGTCAAGAATGTTTTTAAGAAATGTTTCATATTTCTGGTAACTCATGTTCATTGTTCAGGAAAACATTCATCATTAGCCCCTTCATGCCGACTGTCACGTATACGTGCCATCAACGAACACACTTATCTACCGGCCGACACGCAGGTGTGCCAGAGCATTGTTGCGTTTTCTACCGACTGTCACATATTTGTGCCAGTACCTTGGAACGTTTTTTAAACTATAATTTCTGCCACAAGATGGCACTGTATGTCCATATGGTTTCAGATACATGTACATTAGACCTTCTACTCGAAATGAGAGAAGCATGACTCACATACACGTGTTTTTGATTATATAAACAAACGGGGAACTAAATGTTTCCGAATGGCGTGATTTATGACGTCTCTTTAAATCGCACTTTATTCGCACGTGGTAGTTGTTTATTGTAAGTAGAAGTTTTATATGCGCTAAAGCGTTGAGTATTTCGGTTTACAGTTCAGTTTTTAGAAAATAATTAGATCTTGTTAGACGTGAATTCTTTCTGTTTTTACCGTTTCAATGTCGAAGCGTCGAAAATGTTTAACAGAGCATGAAATAGCAGAAATGATGCAAAATATTTCAGATATTGATTCTGAAATTCTGATATTCTGATATTGATTCTGAAAGATTAACTGAAAGACATTTTCCAAAACTTTGTTCAGAAGAGACTGATAAGAAAATGAGACGACGATGCTTCGTTTGTTCACATTCCCGGAAAAATCCTCCAAAACGGCAAATGAGTTATTACGAGTTCAAGGAATGTAACGTAGGACTGTGTGTAGATCCCTGTTTTAAAATTTTTCATACGAAAAGAGAATTTTAAGTAATATATTTAGTTTTCAGATGTATAATGTTAAAAGTCATAAAATGGTGAGTAATTAAAATAAAATGTGTAAAATATGCATTTAAACAAGAAATAAGGTAATTAAAGTATATATATAAAAATATCTATAAAGCATAAGCCGTTTAAATACTCTATAGAGCATTATTAAACAATGCGTTGATACTTCGGAAATTTCATGGATTTAGGCTTAGTAGCAAAAAAGCCCCCGGCCCTGGAGAGACGCTCGCGGAAGACACTGCCGGCCTCCGCGATAAGCGCGCGTTTTTGCTACCCGGCTCGAAGGGGTTAGTGTGTTTTTTTAAGCACAAACAAAAATGTAAGGATATAGTTAATGAATCTGGTGCAAACAGAGTCCTTACAAACAGTTATTTAAAAATGTAGTAACAAATATTGATAAATAAGAAAAACAGTTCAATGTTACTGTTATCGTTTCATATAAATAATGCAAAAATATCAGTTTTCTGGAATTTAGATACATTATGGATCAAAGCCGTAAGTGATAAAAGTACTAAAAAAATTCAGGAACTTGCATTGAAACGTTTTAAAGATACAGTAAGTAGAGATGATACTGGAAGGTATCATGTTTGTTTATCCTGGTTGGAGTGTAATTCACCTTTATCTAATAACAGAGATTTAGCCTACCAAAGACTGTGAAGTGTGCATAGTAGTGTATCATCAGTTAGAGAAGTAGGACATTTTAGAACAGAGTCTACGAAGATATTAAATGCAGCTAGACTTGACTTATGTGGATGGAAAGGCAATCATAGTCCAGAAATGAATGAACACTCGAAGAATGGCTCACCTGTTGTAAAAGATTTTGATGTGTCAGTGTCAGATCTCAATTAGAATACCAAAAATGATACTCTGCCATGTGACTTGTACGGTATGAGATATGGAGATCAGCCAGTTACTAAGCAAAGAATCCTATTAGTAGCACACCGTATTTTGACTTGATTGGGTCCAGTAACATACATACTGAAATTGTTTCTTCAGGAGTGTTGGAAAAGAGAAGCATCATGGGATGATAAGGTACTTGAGAATATAGTTAAAAGGTTTCAGAACTAGAAAAATAAGTTAGAATTAAAAGCAGTGAATATTCCTTGAATATTCTCTGCTAACAGAATTAGAAGAAGTGAATGACTTGAAATTTAACTGTGCATTTTTTTTTTTTTTTTTTTTGTGACGCCTTAAAAAAAGTCATATACATCTTGCATTTTCCTTCAAGTACAGAAAGCAGACTGAATAACCTGTTAACTAATTCAGGTGAGATCAAGAGTAGCAACTTTAAAGAGTCTATCTATATCTATATTAGATCTTTTGACTTGTAATAATGGTGCAAGATTATTGAATTCGATGAAGAAAAACTTGCACATGGAAAATCTAAAAAATGTTTAAGCTATTAAAAAAGAGTCTATGTACATCCTATATTGGATAAAGAAAGAATGCTCTTGAGCTACTTTTGCCTTTAATCAAGTAAGAGAAATAAAAAGTTTATCATCAGCTGATTCATGGAGACTTCTAAGAGTCCAAAACCCTACAGGTCTATTGTCAAGAGGATGTG